TATATATATTTATGCATGTGAAAAGAACCAAATATAGATATTTATGCATGTAACATATCAAGTGTACACATTTATAAATATAATAAACTTAAGTATACAAATTTATCCATACAAAACTGAACTAGATTTACCTCGTGTTCGCCTAAACAGCCGTTTAAACAGCTGTTTAGCCCGTTTAATGGTGTTTATCTCCGTTCTATTTAGGCCGTTTAGACCGTTTTTTCCTGTTTTACCGTTTAAACGGTCAACCGTTTAATTTCCGTTTATCCCCTAAACAAGACAGTTTACCACCATTTACCGTTTACTGTCCGTTTAGGCGAACACTGGTACTTGTACACTCATCAAGCTTCCAACAGCTGAAGCATATGTAACTATGTTCATTTGATCGATCTCATATCAGTACTGGAACACTTAAAGTTCTCAAATCTATTACCCTTGATTATAGGAGTAGACGTAGGTTTACTCGCATGCACACTTTATTTCCCTAGAATCTTCTAAGTATGCCTTTGCGATAGTACTAATACCTCATTTTCTTCTATCTCGGTGAATTTTGATTCACAAAACCAATGATGCTTCACCAAGATCATTCACATTGAAACTTGAGGACAAAACTTCTTCTTCTGCAATGATAGATTAACATCACTAATAGTGAGTAGAATGTCATCTATTCACAGGATATGGAAAATGAATTTTCCATTCTTGATCTTCGCATAACGCTATTGTCCTTCTCATTTTCTTTGAAACCCGAACTTTCTTATCGTTTCATCAACTTCAAATACTATTGTCTAGAGACTTACTTTTAATCCATAAATAGATTTTTACAGGCGGCATCCCATACGTTCTTTTCTTCCACGACAAATCCTTTTGGGTTGTGCCATGTAAATGTTTTCATACAAATCCCCGTTGAGAAATGTCGTCTTTACATTCATCTAATGTATTTCTAAATCATAATGTGCCATGAACACCATTATAATTCTAAAAGAATCCTTGCATGAGACTAGAGAGAAAACTCTCATTGTAATTTTTTCATTCTCTTTGCGTAAAACATATTGCTACAAGTCGTGCTTTATATCTTTCTACATTTCCTTTGAAGTCATATTTTATCTTGTAGACCCATTAACAACCTACTGTTTTGGCTCTATTAGGAATTACTTCTAAGTCTCAAACATTGTTGGTATTCATCGGATTCATTTCAATTTTTATAGCTTCTTGCCATTTAAATGAGTAAACGCTTCTCATGTCTTCTTCAATGAGGTGGGATCACCCTTTATTTGAATTTATTTACTAACATAGACTTTATAGTCATCAGAAAACTGGTTTACTAATTCTTTGAGACCTTCTGGGGCCTCAGCTACTAGCACTTTCATATGGGGCTGTTGTTGCTCTTCATTGCGAAGAGGCGATAGATTCTGCAGGCTCCTGTATAACAAGATCCTTGTTTACATTATTCATCTTCTTCGAAGAGCCAACAACATGTGCTGTATTAGTCATACAACATCAACAGGTATTGAGAAACTTGTTACTCCTGAGTCATTGGAGTGAGCACGCAGTCCCTATTCTCTTCAAGTCTTAGGTCTCTACATACCTCTACATACCATGCTCCCCCAGATCTTTCCATCTTTTCTAAAGATGGTGTATCTTCAAATATCTTATTTTGGGTTTAATCTGTTGAAACCTCATATGGCGCTTTAAGCACCACCTTAACATCTTTGAGGCTAACTACGCTATCTTCCTGTTGAAACTTTAAAGGGTCTAGGAATTTAGCTATTTCTCTGTTTAGGGGTATCATTGTTGTGACCGTTTTACTCCTCCAACGGTCGCATTCATCTTAACTAATCTTTATCTCACTCTAAATGAAGAGTATCTTTCTTAATTAATCTTAATATCCCCCCCCTTGAAATACGGCATGAAATTTACTGCCATAATTTCGAGAACTATTCAGAAAACCCAAGAACGATGAGACACTTATAACTTATTTCATTCACATGATTATGTCATGTAAACAAAGTTATTTCTTGATGCGTTTAAGAGTACACTTTCCTTATTTTACTTCAAGAACTCAACGAGGTCTTTCACCAGCAGTACTTTTGCAAGTCACGCTTGCATTTTGTTTCTTATCCTTTGGTTAGTATTGACCATGATGATGCATTTCTGTTGTGCCACGGTCAATACTAGGACAGCATAAGAGCTACTCAAACTTCTCTCGCTATGTGGGATTCAAAACATGTGAATCATCACAAAACTTCTCCCGCTATGTAGGATTGACTAGCATAAGTACTATGTCAAAACTTCTCCCCATGTGGGATAAAATCTATACACAATTTACTGTAACGAAAACTTAGTAATGATGACTAAAACATTCACTTATACTTTATTTTCCAATTAAATCTTCCCATCGGTTCCAATTTAATCAGAAAATTAGTTAACGGTCCTGAACTGGCTTAACTCAAGCCTTTTCATTCACACACCCCAGCATAGCAGCCCGTTGGCATGTAGCCGAGTGATCTCATCGAATTAAAACATACAAGGTGCTTCTGCATCAATTCTACATCACCGTTGGGCAGAGAATAGAATTAATGTATAAAACTCATAAATTAACTTGAAATCCATATATCTACTCTTCAAAATTAAATTCCCCGGTTGGTTTGAATTTAATTGAAAGATAATTGCAGCAGAAACTTGATAATGAAATACATTCTTTTAGTTCAAAAGCATTTCTGGGTCCTTATCTACTCTTTGAAAAATTGATCACGTTCGTGCAAAATTTATCAGAGATTTAACTTTAAACTTAAACTCATAAATACACTTATAAATTATAATATTGTTATGATCAACGTTGGTCAGAAAATAACAATAATATAACTTAAACAAATATGACTGCCCCTCTAATTAAAATTTTCCATTGGTCCAATTTAATTAGAGGGTAGGCTTAAACATGGCAGCGGAAACATGAAAGTTTGTCTACTTTTTAGAAGCATTTTACTGTACTTATCTACTCTCTGAAAAAATTATTCCGTTGGTTCAAATTTTGACAGAGATAGAACATGAAAACATAGCCTAAAACATGAAAATTGCTTCTAAAAAATAAAAAAAGAATTAAATCCTAAAAACTTCAGCTACAGCATTTGGCCTAGACTAATAAAAAATCAGCCCGAGGCCCAACTCGCAGCGGCAACGTGTGCCCCAGCTCGGCCTGCTCGTGCGCGCTCTCGCGCTTGTTCTCTGCGGCCCAATGCGCAAAACCGGCCAGGCAACACAGCACGCGCTCGCGCGTCCCCACGCCCAGGCCGCAACCTAGGCCTGGGCTAGGATTCTCATCACCCGCCTGGGCCTAATGCCGGCCCGTGCGCTGTCAGCCGTCGGATGTGATCCGACGGTCCTCCGTGCGCCACGGCCGAACAAAAAGCTCGAGCCGCGCCGTTCCACGGAACCCTAACGCATTTATCTGCTCCCTTTCTCCCCTTCACCGCATGGCTTAGCCAGCGTAGATGAGCTCAAGGCAGATGCGACGCAGGGGATAGCGGCTCCGCCTTGGCACCCCTCGCCGGCGCATGCGTGCGGCCAGAGCCATGCGCGGCACCACGGTGGTGCCCTTTGGCCCGAGCCCGAGGCGGAGACCGTGCGGCGGCGCTTCTCTCGCCCCGGCGGCTAGGTTGACTTCCCGCGCGGCGTCCATGCGACGGCCGGCGGTGGAGTCAGAGCGGGCGGACCCCAGGTAGGAGCTCATTCCCCTTGTCTGATTCACTCTCTTCATCTTCCTCGTCGCGAGTTAGGGTTAGGGTTTCGTTAGGGTTAGGATTAACCTAATTCGGTTTTCTTTCGGTTTTGATTCGAGATCGTAATCCCCTCTTTCTAATTGCCAAAAACTGAGACTACCCCGAGCTCACCGGCGGAGTCTATCCCGGAGTGCTCCGGTGAGTGGAGGACCGGCGAGGTAAGCCGCCTTCCTAGCTCTTCCCCTTTCCCCTTCTTCTCTTTTTGGTCTTCTTCTATTCTTCTTAGATCTTGTCTAATTTAAGGTTAGGGTTAGGGTTAGGGTTAGAGTACTTTTCGAAACCGAGACCACCTTCTTACTCCTTTTCTTCACCCGATTAGGGTTTAGGGTTCGATGAACCTTCGGCTTCCCTTATCTTTCGATCTGAACCAGATCTATTTCATCTACTTTTACACTGCTACCCCTGACACGAACTACACACTAGATCGACAGCTCTGATACCATTGTTAGGATTTAGGATCCATCTAGGTGCAGATCAGAGGGTGTATTCGTTACTGGTTAAATCAATTAGAATTAGAGCATGCTTCGGTAGAGAGAGACGGTGAGAGAGAGAGAGAGATGTAGGAGATCTCTGACCGTTGGGCTTGGAGGAGGATGATCCGTTCATGGCCATGTTGGTGATGTAGGGCGTCGGGGAAGGAGAAGCAGGGGAGTCCGGCGGCGGCGTAGACGTCGGGTGGCGCAGAGGCGGTGGTGGACTTCCCGTCGCTTGCAACACCCCTCTCGATCGGTCTAGGGTTAGGAAGTAGGTGGGGCATCTAGCGACTCAGGTGAACCTCGTGCCCCAGCCCCCACCATCTTTTTAATAGTGCTGCGCGACGGGGGCCCATCAGCCACTTAGAACCAGCTGAGCGCCTCCGATCAGGGTGCAGATCAAGGGCTCAATTGACCGTTGGGCCAACTGGTGGAGATCATCCTAACAACTAGGCCTAGTAGCAACCTGAAGATCGTCTGGTCTTCGTGTCCACAAATTGGACCAGGCAAAGACACTGATGTTCCCATACAAATGAAAGCAGTTAGGAAGGCCTTTGCCAGTGTCCTAGAAGCTATATACTGCTGCAGCCACTGCAGTTTACCACCCCAGCCCACCTGCGCAGAAAGAGTTTCTTGGATCACCGGATTCTGTGGAAAAACTCAAGCATGCCTCAGATATGTTTCGTCTGGATGATGGTCACCAACTCTCGAATGAAGAATTCGATTTGCTCTTCATGTTCTTACAAAAAAGGTGCCTATCCTCTATTGGCACGTTGTTGGACCATCAACAGGAACCTGAACCTACAGTGGTTGGCAAGTCAGAATACGCCGAAATATCTCGACGCGTGCACAGGTTCTGGGGCCTGCATGACCGAGTCAGTAGCATGGTGTTAGCTGCACTGGAGAAATTCAACAGAATTCATGTTGGTTTCTTCTATTACTCACTCTTAGTTACTTGCCTCAGTTATATTAGTCTCTTTTTCAGCTATGCCTGGTTTCCATTTTAACCCTCTTCTTCATGGTTGAAATTGATTGCAGGAATCCCAGATTCCCAGTATAGCCTTCATGTTATCTGTGGTGTTAATGAGCTTGTATCTGGGCCAAAGTTTTGCAACCACTTTCTGGCGCATCTTCCTTTCAAATATCAGTATTCCCATATCAACTTTCTGGCTACTCTGGATGCTCAACCTCCAAAGCTCTTCTTTGCTGAATGTAACCTTGATGATCATAATGATACTTGGTGTGTCCCTGTGGATTGGTCACGCCCAGTTGGTGGTATGCTGTAGTCTCTTATCTCATGGGTCATGGTTTCTTATTATCAAGTCTGGTCAATTAGATTCACCTCTTTCATTCTTACTATTATTGATGCGTATTATACTGTCACACATCACGCGCAAGTTATGTGTGCCTACTGATCTGTCATGATTTATTGGTCACATCCTGACAGATTTTCTTATAAAATCTTGTGAAACATATGTAGATATCCCCAATTCAAAATATAGGGCGTATAATTAAGTCAAAACTTTAGAAAAGTTGGCATACAATTTTTTTTCAGATTTATGCTTGGCTGATAAAGTTACATCAGTAGATTCTCATTCCACATATCTTCTAGTATGATTTATTTGCATTGATCCATGATATATTGCAAGAGTAATCGGTGGTCAAAGGACGCATTCCAAATTAAATACTAATGCGTCTATAGTCTATAGTCTATACACATTACTAATTTATATTGTGTTGCATCTGCAGGACAAGCTCGGTGCTTTTATTGTGAGAGTCATGGTAATAGGATCATCCATCCAGCCTTGTCCGTTTTCCATGGGTTTAACTTTGAGGAGGCCTTCTTTGGGCCAGATACTAAAAGTTTTTATGACAACAACCAGATCATCTTCTTCAAATCTGTATTTGCGGACTGGGTGAATAGTGTGGAAGAAGAAGCTATCTACAACAATTACAGACTTCGTGATGACGATGATGGTAATGGGGACTCCAAGCGTTTACGACTTTGAGTATGCTTTTGCGTGATGTAATTGTCATGTGCGCGGCAAGAAGTTCACACGGCGCAACAGGAGACGTCACCTAGAGCCTGAAGGCCCGACGCGCATGGAGAGTGGCTGACCAGCACCAGCGCGTGCACGTCGTTGTATCAGTTTGTTTAGCTCAGGATTAGTCAGTTTCCTTGTTTTGCTCAGGATTAGCTCCCACCACTGCCATCACAATTATACTTGTATCTACCTTAGATGATCACCGTCGAGAGACAGAGATCAAACTTGACTTAAAGTAATTATGTGTTTTTTGGGGGTTTAGTATGTTGTTATATGAAGTACTATATTATCTCTACCTTGGATGATTGATCGTCGAGAGAACTTGATGTATTGTAATTGTATTTACTTTGTGGAGTATGCTGGTGTGTGAAGTAGTACTATATCAAGCTAAATTGTTGGCCTGGATGAGATTGAACCTTGGACTGCGTTCTTTGCACTTCATCCTCCTGAGATCTTAACTAACGCTTGTGCCTAACAAAACATTTGACTTGATAAGGGCATGGATTGGGTAGGTAGAACAACGGTTCAGAGAGAATGGATAAAATTCGTCTTAAGTTTTCCATGCAGGGAGCCAGGGACATTAGTGTATATGGTGATGTTTGATGTTTGTTGGGTTTGGCCAAATCTGAATGTTGTATATATTTGGATGCGTTTGTATTTGTCTCAATCCACATGTTCGTTGTCAGTATATGTGTGTCTTGTATATTTCTGTTTATATAAGGGTCTTCTTGCCTGCCCGCCTCATGGTCGCGGCTCCTCATCCGCCCGCCCTCTCGCGCTCGCTGCCACAAGACAGCACCTTGGCTTCCAAACTGTTCGCAGCCTCATTTAGTTATATTAGTTAGTTTTATAATGTTTATATTTAGTTTGCATTATGTGTTTATATCAAGTCTTCGCAGCTTCCTTGGCGTCACACTCCTTGTGATACTTGTTCACTTGCTCCGAAATGGCCTTTCGCTCCTCCAAGGTCTGCGAGAGTCAAATTGGACTCGATGTAAATAAAAAAACAAAAGTAAACATAACGCAAAACGCCAAGCCATGAAGGTAGAACACCTCTTCACGCGCATCACTTTCCGCCCCAAGACTCTGGAGGCATTTGCAATATAAGTCCATCACTTTTTACGCTTTGGCAGCGAACTTCTCTTTGGTTTTCTTCTTCGATGCCTCCAGCTTCAAGATGTCTTCATCTTTCGCCACGAGATCTTTCTCGATCTTCTCTCGGTATATCAGGCTCTGCCCGTGCATTCCGCGAGTTAGCAGCATGGCCTGCAATAGCAAAAGCAATAAGCACCGTCAACGATAGATCAACGAAGCGAAGTAATTAAACGAAGCAATCACACTTACGCTAAAGCATGGTAGTTAGGAGCTTCGGCTAACGCCGAATCCTCCACCCCCAGCAGATCCCTCTCTAGCTCGGGCACCGCAAAGGACTCGCCACAAAAATCGATAAACTTTGTGACGTCTTCGCCCAGGAGGAGCCTCGTTATACCTCGATAAAAATACCAAAGTCGTCAATGGGAATTTACATCTCTATCGCTCTTTTTACGCGTGTGCTAATCATGCAACTCACATGCGTACATCTTTACTTAATGTAGAGATTATTTAGCTTTTATAACCATGACGCTTTGCATATATTTTGATAATTATTATGTGGGCTTAATTAGCAACACACTGATTATTTTTATGTTTATCTAAATGATCATCATGGGCCTGGAAGTCTTGGCAAGCCACACGTGTGCTACTATTTGGATATGGGCCATGTGCATGAGCCCAATATTATCGTTAATTAGCCTTTGTGCTAATTGATGATTAGGCAACTCGTACATCTTTGAGGCCCAAATATTCATATAGGCTAGCCCATATTTCGTAGGCATCATATCATTGTCAACTTATTTTATATATAATGCCTCATTCGACTCATGCTAAATAGGACATATAATATGCCAAAATCTCGTCATACAAATAGATATAGACAATAGTTATAGATAGAGACAGAGATAAAAAAAGAGATTGAGATAGATATTAAAATATAATTAAAATTAAAGTATAAATTAAATAAAAAATCAGACCTGTTAGCATTGTAAGAGCAGCTCCGAGAGACTATATAAAATTATATTCCAAATTTAGCCATTCTCTAAAAAAATAGGGTTCCAAAAAACTAGAGTGTTGCAACAGGTCTTGTAAAATTAGCCATCTTCATCATATTTAAAAGTGCCACGTCATCAACTTTCGGCTCTGACAGCTCGCTTTGCCCAGGTTGCCTCCGCCGCGGCGCCGCTAGACTGCTGGTTCTACATCTCAGTGCTACCACTGTTGGCCTTTGAAAATTCCTTGGCTGATTTGCTTTTGTTGTGTGAATTTTCTGAGTGTTTTGCCACTTCTGCTCTTCTTGCTTGCTTTGTGAGTGCCTGGGCTCTTCTTGGTGAGACCCCACGATTTCTCGCAACAAAATTACAAATGTCTACCAGAACATAAAACTCTTCCTTCTCCATTCCTGCAACCATTTGATCCTAATTAATCGTCAGAGTGTCCCCGTTTCTCCTTGCCTTCTTCGATGGCAATGCTTGCTCGTTGCTTCGTACACACAATCTTCCAGGTTCCACCTCTGCAGTAGCCATGGAGGCTACCAGCACCTTCCACCGCTTCTTAGATGTCATGCTCCACAACCTACTGGTCTCTGCCCCTTGTCCGGCATCCCTTCCGCCGCTCCTTTCCTCACGAGGCGCGTACCTATGGCCTATGTGTAATTGACGAACAGCGTCTGAGCTCAAGGAGATCCATGGCGATAAATGCTCCATGACCGGCGGTGAGCTCCCTCCCCCTGCACCCGGCCTTGGAAGCTTCCGGGATTGGGGATTCCACACCTCATGCTCTCTCGCGTCGTGGTGTGTGGCGGCGCGATTTGCAGCAGCTGACGAGAAGAGACCAGGGGAGGCGCGCGTGGAAGAGGGAGGAGGAGCACGTGCGTGAAACAGCATGGAGCTGGGATGGCGAGCGAACTGCGGTGGCCATCTTTGACGAGCGAAAAATCGGGAATGAAGGATGGGGACGATTGGAGATCGAGATGCAGATGCTGTTGGAGGTATGTTTTCTCCTCAAACGCTGAATCGGATTATGCGGAGGGGTTTAGAAGGCCCATTGGAGTTGCTCCAAGAGCAACTGCAACAGCCTTTGTATAATGCTCCTTAAAGCCCGGTTTGGCTATTGTTGGTCAAAAAAATCTCGTTCCCCCCCACCCCCAAACGCTAGCTATCCCGGCTATCTCGCTCGTTATCTTTTGCGAGCCGTGTTTGCTCGCCATCTGCGGCTTCCGCGCATGGTTTTCTCTTTTAGGCGCCTACCTCTCCTGTGATTGGCTGGCACATGTGATCCGATCCTATTTCAAGCGACAGGAATAAGTCAAGCAGATGAAAATTGATGGTAGTTACCTAATGTGGCCAACTTTTTCAATATAGAAGATCAAAAATAGCTAGGCTGTTGTAGATCTCTTCTCTTTTGAGAGGAGCTTTGTATTTTACATAATGGCTAAACTATAAAATTTGGCTACTGATTTTAGATGAATTCTTGGAGTTGCTCTAAGGTCAGAAGTATAATTTAAATTAAAGTACAAAATTGCTTTATGTATAATTAAATTGTATGAATAGGGTAAACGGGGTCTATGTTTCATAGAAATTGTTTATTATGTCAGAATCAGAAGAAACTAACACATGGGTCTACCAAGTCTGCAGCCCCCTCAGGCTGCAACATCACCCTCTGCTCCTGCTGCCCCAAGTGTTTCTATCCCCCTCGGTTGTTGCTAGTAGGCACCAACGCTTGAAGCCGGCCTCGACTTTCTTCACCGCCATCACAGGGCGGTTTATGTGTAGCCACCCGTCAAGGATCATGTTATGGTCACCAGAGGCAAGCGGGGTTTTCACCTTCCAATGTAGCAGCTCAACCTTCAAGCCACATCTATGTCTCCAATTCTCAAGCCGTATCGTTGTGCTTTTGCCGACCTTATTTAGCGTGTGGCAATGATTGAAGAGTTTACTACCCTACAACAGAATCATACTTGGGATCTTGTGCCTCATACGGCTGGGGCTAATGTGGTCACTGGCAAATGGGTTTATCGTCATAAGTTTGCTTCAGATGGGTCTCTTGATAGATATAAAGCTCGGTGGGTGGTTCATGACTTCACTCAACGTCCTGGTGTTGACTATGATGAGACTTTTAGTAGTCCAGTTGTTAAGCCCACCACTGTTCGCACCGTCCTCAGTGTTACTCTGTCCCATCAGTGGCCTGTTCATTAATTAGATGTGAAGAATGCCTTCCTCAACGACACTTTGCAGGAGATAGTATATTGTGAACAACCATCTGGATTTGTGGATCCCTCTCATGCTGATCATGTCTGCCTTCTTCGGAAGTCCCTGTATGGTTTGAAGTAAGCTCCACATGCGTGGTTAAGTCAGTTTGCTTCTCACACCTTGTCACTGGGATTTGTTAGTGCTCGGTCTAACACATCATTCTTTATTTTCCGTCATGGCTCCAACTTGGCATACTAACTTTTATATGTTGATGACATTGTCTTTACTGTCTCGTCCGATGCTCTTCTCTGCCGCATCATTGCAGCCCTAACTCAGGAGTTCTCAATGAAGGACCTCGACCCTCTTTACCTCTTTCTTGGCGTGTCTATCACCAGGCGTGATGGTGGGCTATTTCTCTCTCAGCGGCAGTATATGCTGGATATTTGGGAGCTTGCTGGTATGTTCGATTGCAAGCCCCGTTCTACACCCAATGATACCTCTGCCAAGGTTTCCAATGATGGTGTCCCCATGCTTGATGTGATCAACTATCACGCCCTTGTCGGTGCCCTATAGTATCTCACTTTCACCTAGCCCGACATTGCTTTGGTGAAGCGGATACTACGCTATGTCTGTGGTCCTCTAGACTTTGGATTGCAGCTACACTCCTTCACTCTGTCCTCC